TTGGGATGGGAGACACTGGAAATCCCAGGGTTCAAGTGGGAATTCCATTAGGGGCTGACTAAGCTGACAGAAAATGGGTTTCTTAGAGGGTTTTGGGCTTGTGGTGCTTCAGTGGGACATGCTGCTTGTTCCTGTGGTGACGTTTGCTGTGGGGTGGCACAGGGTGATATTTAGCTGCTGAGTAGGTGGTGCTTGCTGCTAAAACGAGTGGCTTTTGCTGCTCTGAGGGCAGCAGCCTCCAGCCCTGCAGGGAAGGACGAGGAGCCCCACTGACTCCTGAGCCTTGTGGCCTGTGCTGGGCTCGTTGTCAGCCTGGCTGTGACACCCAGCAGCATCTCCCCACCCTCATGGTGTTGCCATGTCCTGCCAGGGCCAGCTGGAGCTGCTGCGCTTGCTCTTCACTGAAGCTCTTTATGATGAACATCTCAGCAGGGTGAGTTGCCCTGCCTCCCAGATAGGACCCTCTGGCTGGCCAGGGCTTTCCCTGGAACTCTGCCCATTTCTTGCGTCCCCCAGAGCTTCCCTGTGGGATTTGAGGCACTCACTGGGGTGCTGCTGCAGGCTGGCCTGGCCTCAGCTGCTTTCTCATCTCCTCCTGCAGTGGTTCACTCCAGAAGGCTTTCGATCCCTCTTTGCCCTTGTCGGGACCAATGGCCAAGGCATAGGAACAAGGTAATGGGGCTTTCTGGATGCAGGGATGTGGCATGGAGGGGATGTGCCGTCTCAGTCCATTACCCAGTGGCCTGGCTGATGGCTGGGTTCAGATGGAAGAGAGAGGAATGGAGAGACAAAAGCACTCCTTCATCTTGGCTGCATCCAACCCTTTTGTGTCCCTCCGCCAGACCTCAGCCGCTCGGAGCCAGGAGCTTAATCCTTAAATCCCCCCTGCGAGGTCCCACCACGTGGTGACAGCACTGTGGGACTGTAACAGTGTCCCTCTGCTTCCCAACAGCTCCCTGAGCCAGTGGGTACACGCCTGTGATGCTCTGGATCTCCCCATGCTGCAGCGGGAGGAGCTGGATGCCTTCATTGACCAGCTCTACAAGGACATCGAGAAGGGTGAGGCTGGAGACTCTTTCCAGCATTCAGGGACCAGGAGAGGTTCCCAGTGGGCGCTGGGAGATCCCACTTCCCCTGGGCCATGCCTAGAGCCAAGCTTTAACCCCCCCCTTCTCTGCTGCAGAGTCAGGAGAGTTCCTCAACTGTGAGGGATCAGGACTCTACGTGCTCCAGAGCTGCTGTAAGTAACACAAGGACTGGGAGGAAAACTAATGAGGAGGGAGATGTCCTGGGCTGGACTGGCTCACCTCTGCCTAGCAGCCTCTGGAGAGAGGGGTTTGTGGTTCCCATCCATGGGACAGGGAGGGATGGGATGGGAGCTGCCCAGGGCCTGCTGCTCTCTCAGGGTCTCTGGGCATCTCACCTAACTCAGTCCTGGCTTGAATGGGTTTGGATTCCATGTAGTCTCTGGGAGCCGCGTATGCAGTTAGCAAAGAGACTGTCTCCAACCTTGTCCAAGCGAAATGAAGCTGGATAAATGGTTAAGGGAGGGAATCTTTCTTGCCTGGTTCACGGGGATGTAGGAGGGAATGTCCCAGCACCCAGAGCTGTTGTCTTTTGCTTGTCAATGTTAATGGCAGAGTGGGGATGAGCAGGGCCTTGGGACTGGCTGCTGGGACAGCATCCTTACCTGAGCACCTGGAGGCAGAGGTGGTGCTACGCATCCCTGGGCTCATCTAGGACATTGGGTTCTGTGGCTCTAAGGGAGAGCCCTGGCCCTGCACCCTGCTCTGCTGGACCCATAGTGTGAGGGGACAGTGCCATGCTGGTGTCCCCAAGGTGGCCACAGCATCGTTGCTGCCTTATCCTTAGCCAGGCCATGGCCCTCCCACATGGCTGGACCACACAGAAAGACAAGCCCAAGCCCTATGGGCTGTGTGGTGCTTCCAACCCTGCCTCTGCCTCCCCTGTCCTCTAGAGGCACCCTGAGAGCCGTGTCCCATCTTGCCCACAGGTAACCACAGCTGCATCCCCAATGCCGAGACATCCTTCCCGGAAAACAACTTCCTCCTGCATCTGACAGCTCTGGAGGACATTGAAGCAGGAGAGGTGAGACAGTGGGGCCTGGATGAACCTGGGCTGGCACCACACCTCAGGAGAGGGTCCCTGTGTCCCCTACACCCGCCATGGGCCCCAGCCCCATACCTCCTGTCTCTGGTGGTGTCCTGGCAGAGGAATTCACACCTCATCCCATGGAGGGGCTGCCAGATGCCATGTTTCTGCCTGACTCGGAGAAGGACTGGGGCAAATCATGCTGCTTTGGGTTTATGGGTCTACAAGGGGGCTGAGAAGGGCTTTTCATCAGGGCCTGTAGGGACAGGACAAGGGGAATGGCTTGAACCTGCCAGAGGGGAGACTGAGATGAGCTCTTGGGCAGAAGCTCTTCCCTGTGAGGGTGCTGAGGCGCTGGCACAGGGTGCCCAGAGAAGCTGTGGCTGCCCCATCCCTGGCAGTGTTCAAGGCCAGGTTGGACCCAGGGGCTTGGAGCAACCTGCTCTAGTGGAAGGTGTCAGGGGGTTGGAACTGGATGAGCTTTAAGGTCCCTTCGACCCAAACCAGGCTGGGGTTCTGTGTTTCTCAGCCTGATCTCTTTCTCTCTGCTCACAGGAAATCTGCATCAGTTACTTAGACTGCTGCCAGCGGGAGCGCAGCAGACACAGCCGCAACAAGATACTCAGGTAGGGGCTGGTTGGAGGAACCCAGGGGGATATGGGACCCCCTTTTGCACCCCCAGGCTCTGTCCCCACCTTGGGGGCCCTGTGTGTGCCCTGCTGCGTTGCTGTGCATGCTCGTGGCAGGGTGTGCAGGCTGCATGTGGTGCTTTCAGTGCTTCAGGCTCCTTGCAGTCCCTTCTTCCATGTTGTATCCTCAGGGACTGAGGATTTGGGCTCTGTCCCTCTCTTTCTGAAGGCTTGCACTCCTCCTGCACACCCTTCCTGTCCCCACCCTCCTTCCTTCTCCTTCTCTGCCCTTCAAGCATAGGGGTTCCTGTTGATGGTCACGGTCCCCATAACCCATCACCCTGCAGGGCTGAGAAGTTCCCCCCCGCCCCGAGACTGCCTCAGACAGCCCAGCATGAATGAACCACAAACTCCTCTGGGTTTAACATATTTACCCTGTTCTTGGCTGCTCCTTCCCTGCCCAGCAGCAGGGTTGGGATTGTCCCTGTCTCAACACCATCACTCTTGCTTCTTCCCTCCCTTCTTCCAGGGAAAACTACTTGTTTACCTGTTCGTGTCCCAAGTGCCTGGCGCAAGCCGACGACGCCGACGTGACATCGGACGAAGAGGAGGAGGGTGAAGGGGAGACGGATGATGCTGAGCTGGAGGATGAGATGACTGACGTTTGATCCTGGCCCCAGGCGAGAGGAGAGGGAAGGGACAGGGATGCGGGTCCTCCCGGAGGCAGCAGCTTTAATTCCAGGAACAGGGTTGTGTTGTGGGGTCGGGAGCTCTGGTGGAGTGGGCCAGCAGCAGAGCCAGAGGCAGGCCCTGCTCCCGCCTGTCCTTGTGTGTGTGTATATGTGTGAAGCGGTCCCCATCCTCCCTGTGAGGACAGGCTGGGAGCATCCTGGTCCCCAGAGGGGCTGGCTGGGGAGGCTGGAGCGGAGCAGGGTCCAGCCAGCCTCTGGGACATCATGCTGGTCACCCTGAGGTTGCTCTGCTGTGTCTGTGCAGCCACGGTGCGGAGGAGCACATCCTTCCCTTCCCCACAGGGACGAGGGGAACACGTTGTGTGTGTGTGTGTATGTACGTGTGTTGTGCACAAAGGGTACTATTTAATGTCTATAGTAGCACTATGTACACACTATGGGGCTGGGGTCTTGTATATCCTCCATTCCATGCCCCAGCTTGGAGCAAAATGACGTTGCAGGTGGGACAGAGACACTGTAGAAGGTGGCTCAGATGCCCCAGACCTGTGGATGTGGCGTGGGGCTGTGTGGCTTCCCCATGCTGAGAGGTCACTGGCAGCAGAGTGTTGTCATCCATCCCATGCCACCCATGAGGCCACTGTGCTCCCTGCCTTGTCCCCACCTCTGGGCCACGCTGGAGGGAGAGGATGGCTCCAAGTGGTGGACGTGCAGCAGGATGGGGATGTGCCTGGAAGATTTCCCTCCCCTCTTGGATTTCGGGAGCTGTTTTCCTGCTGCTGTTTCCTCCAAGCCCGTGGCAGCTGGGCTGTGGGACTGAAGGTGACACGTCCGACACCTCTGTCATGGGCACCTCTGACACTGCCATCACCACCGGCCCTGCACCCACTGCTCATCCCCACCCGTCCCGGGGCCGTGTCCCCTTCGGTGTTCGTAATAAACCGAGACTGGTGAGAAGTGAGGCTGTGCTGGTTGTACTGGTTAAACTGGAGGGGGGTGAGGGCAGAGATGAGGAGCTGGTCCCAGTGGGGACACGGAGGTTTGGGAATGTGGGAAGTTTGGGCTCTGGATCTATGACCCAGCCCATCCCTGGGGATGGATTTCAGAGGGATGTTGTCCCATGAGGCTGTTCCTGCCCCGCTGTGTGACTGAGCCACGCTCTTGACATAAGCCCTGCCTGGCTGCAAGGGGAAATTGGAAAGTTTATAGGAAAAACGTGAGGGGATTTCTCCCTTCATTCCCAACCTGTTGAAAAAAGGAGGAACTTCCCTTTAAAACTTGTTCAGACTTCATCAGCTGACAAAAACACACAGATGAGGGCATCTGCTAGAACAGACCAAACCCATCTTGCTCTCCCATCCCTGCCCGACCACGTCCACTCCCTCTCAGCCAGCAGCACAGAACACTGGTGGCATCTGAGGGAATGTTAAAATGGGTCTTGTGGAGGTGCTGACCTGCTCTGGGCCATCTCCTCCCTCCCCAAAGTCACTACAAAGGGTGCTTGGTGCTGGGCTCAAGGCTCCCACCGTGGGTGCTGGTGTTTGCCCTTTGCAGCAGAACCATCTCCCTGCTGCTGAATCCAGTGGGGGAATCTCTGGAGCATGCTGGGGTCTCTGGAGCATGTCGGGAGCCTTTCCTCAAACCCCATCACTGGGACAAGCTCCTGGGATCCACCAAGAAGTCCTCAATCTGCCACAGCCTCTGCAGCTACCAGAAGGTCCAAGGGGGCTGCATCATCTCGTACGTGGGGATGCTGGTGACGTTGACAGGAATGGAGATGACAGCCCAGGGAAGTCCATGCTGCTCCAGGGAGCGTCTGATCATGTACCTGGGAGGGTAAAGAGGACACCAACAGGGTTACATCAACAAGGGCATCACCACTGGGATAAAGATGTCATTGTCCCACTGCTCAGCGCTGGTTAGGCCACACCTGGAATAACGGGTTCAGGTTTGGTCCCAGCTGTACACAAAAGCTGTGGAGGGGCTGGAGAGCCCAGAGAAGGGCCACAAAGATGATCCAAGGGCTGGGAAGTGTATGAGGAAAGGCTGAGAGAGCTGGGACTGTCCAGCCTGGAGAAGAGAAGGCTCAGGGGAGACCTTGTCACCATGTTCCAGTGTTTGAAGGGTGGCTACAAAGCAGACGAAGACTCCCTTTTGACAAGGAGTCCCATGGGAAAGACGAGGGGTGATGGGCACAAGTTGCTCCTGGGGAGATTCCAACTGGACACAAGAGGAAAATGTTTCCCAATGAGATCAACCAGCCACTGGAATAATCTCCCCAGGGAAGTGGTGACTCCCCAGCATTGGACACTGTTAAACTTGGGTTGGACGTGGTGCTGGGCATCTAGTGTAGGTCATGCTGTGCCTGGAAAGGTTGGACCAGATGATCCTGGAGGTCCCTTCCGACCTGGGATTCCAGGATTCTACTATAAAGAGGCAATGGATGTTCCTGAGTTTCTTGCCCCTTTAGGCACAAGAAGCTGCTCTGAAGACTCCCTGGAGCCTTCTCTTCTCCAGGCTGAACAACCCCAACGTGACCGAATCCACTAAAAACCTGGTCCCAGACCCCATGTGGGACACGCTGTTCACTGGCAATTCCCTGTTCCATGGGGACAAGGCCCTTCCCGTGAGCTATTCCCCCCTCAGGAAGACGGGATAGCTCTCAGCCAAGGCACGTACCCGTCCCTGCCCAGCAGGAAGAGCGCTGGGATGTCCGCCGTGCGCCTGGTGCTGTCCTGGATCATCTCGATGTAGAAGCTGTCGTTCTCATAGGCGTTATCCGCGATGATGACCGCCCGCCCGCCGTGCTCCTGGATCACCCGCGTCTTCGACAGGAACGAGCAGCCCCTGGGGCACACAGTGACAAACTCTGGTGGCCACACGCAGCCCCTTGCCAGCCACAAGACCTCCAAGTGCCGGAATATGCACGGAGATTCCCAAAGGAGGGATCATCCCCCCAGCCCTGTGCCTCCCACAAACCCTGCTCCTCTTTGAGGCTGTATTTTAGGCACAGGCCACCCACACTCAGCCATTTTCTCCTTAGAAGCAAATCCAATCCAATTCAATCAGGCTTTTTCCACATTCCCACAGGCTGTTTTCCAAGCTGGAGGTGACGGTAAAATACGGCCATGGCGTTGTCACTCCCTGTGCCCTGGGCGGCCCCCTCCTGCCCCAGTGCCTCCCCCCAGAGAGCTCCCATGCCACCAAACATACCCCCTCTCCACCAAAGCGATCTGGTCCTGGATGAAGACACCATTATTCAGCTCTCCACAGGCTTCAGGGGGATCCGCTGGGACCAGGTGGATCTGCTCGTACCTTGTGTTCTCCAAGAGGGAGACGGGAAGGGTGAGTGAGGAGGGATCAGGGCTGCTTCCCGCTGTCCACAGCCTACTCATCCCTGGGGGGGCTGCTTTTGGGGGGACATGTCCCAGCACAAGAGGGACGTGGAGCTGCTGGAGCGAGGCCAGAGGAGGCCCCGGAGCTGCTGCGAGGGCTGGAGCAGCTCTGCTCTGGAGCCAGGCTGAGAGAGCTGGGCTGGGGCAGCTGGAGAAGAGAAGGCTCCTGAAGGGGACACCTTAGAGCAGCTCCAGGGCCTAAAGGGGCTCCAGGAGACCTGGAGAGGGGCTTTGGACAAGGGATGGAGGGACAGGACAAGGGGAATGGCTTGAACCTGCCAGAGGGGAGACTGAGATGAGCTCTGGGGCAGAAGCTCTTCCCTGTGAGGGTGCTGAGGCGCCGGCACAGGGTGCCCAGAGAAGCTGTGGCTGCCCCATCCCTGGCAGTGTTCAAGGGCAGGTTGGACACAGGGGCTTGGAGCAACCTGCTCTAGTGGAAGGTGTCCCTGCCCGGGGCAGGGGTTGGAGCTGGAGGAGCTTTAAGGTCCCTTCCAACACAAACCAGGCTGGGATTCTAGGACACTTAACACTTACAAACACGCCACCGAAGTCCTTGGCTGGGGTTGCAGTGAAGATGTAGCGGATGTCTCCGGGGCTCAGCACTTGGAAATACAGATATTCATGGAGGCGTAAACCTGGGTGGGCACAAAGAGAGGTGAGAGGAGAGAGAAGAAAAGGGGAAATTCCTGAAAGCAAAGAGGAGGAAATACACCTGGATTGAGGTGCAGGAGTGGGAAATGCACCTGGATCATGGTGCACGGATGGGTAATACAGTGGGGTCAGGGCGGAGCAAGGGGAGATGCACCTGGATTATGGTGCGTGGAGGCAAAATGCAACCAAATTGGGATACAGGATTGGGTCAGCGAGCACTGAGGGCAAATGCACATGGATTGGGATGCAGGATGGAGAAATGCAACGGGGCCAGGGTGCACCAGAGGTAAATGCAACCAGATTGGGGTGCTGGAGGGGGAAATGCAACGGAGCTGGGATGCGGTGATGGGAATTGTACCAGGATCATGGCGCATGGAGGGCAAAGACAACGGGACAAGCGTACAAGAAGGGGACATGCACCTGGATCGTGGTGCTCGGAGGTAAAATGCACCCAAACTGGGGCGCAGGATGGGGAAACGCACCCCGACCGAGGGCTGGATGGCGACATGCAACGGGGGCGGCACGCACCGAGGGGAAACACACCCGGACCGGGATGTAGGAGGGGGAACGGAAAGGGGCCGGGGTGCACCGAGGGGAAGGGCAGCCGCCGGGGCC